GCACAGAAAGAGAAATACCACATGTTCTCACTTATTGGTGGAAGCTAAAAATAAATAAATAAATTTACACACACACACAAACCCGGGCGGTGGGGGAAGAATACTTAACAACTACAACTCCTTGAAGTTGATATGACAAGCAAACAGAAAGGACATTGTTGGGTGGAAGTGGGGAGAGGGAGGAGGGAGGGGGGGTTTCGGTAATGGGCCACAATAATCAACCTCATTGTATATCGACAAAATAAAACTAAGAAAGAAAAATAAATAAATAAAATAAAATACATGTGAATTCAAAAAACAAACAAACAAAAAACCGTCTTCAAGGCTATGGAGCAGTATCAAAAGAGGCCACACTTGGGCCGGCCCGTGGCTCACTCGGTAGAGTGCGGTGCTGATAACACCAAGGCCGCGGGTTCGGATCCTATATAGGGATGGCCGGTTTGCTCACTGGCTGAGCGTGGTGCTGACAACACCAAGCCAAGGGTTGAGATCCCCTTACCGGTCATCTTTTTAAAAAAAATAAATAAAAAATAAAAAATAAAAAAAAGAGGCCACACTTTATTATTTAACAACCTGGAAGCCAAAGGGCTCAAAGTGTCCAATTAGAAGATAAGATTTTTTGCTATCTAAAGCCTCTTAGGAAGAGGGGAATAAAGAAGGATTTTTGCAGTATCAAAATTTAAACTATATTTAACAACTTAATTCCATGTAAATAGCTAACAATGGAATGATTAAGTTATTATTCATATTATGGGGCACTGTATAATGAATAATGCAGAGGATCTATACATACTAAAGTGGGAAGAGCTCAAAGATACATTAGTCAAAAAAGCAAGTTGAGAAACACTTTATAAAATATGATCCAATTTGCCTTTTTTAAAAACCGTGTTTATATGCATATGTATCATATAAATCACAGTCACACATTAGAAAAATTTTAGATACAAGGGCCAGCCCATGGCTCACTTGGGAGAGTGTGGTGCTGATAACACTAAGGCCACGGGTGTGGACCCCTATTATAGGGACAGCCGGTTAGCTCACTTGGAGAGCGTGGTGCTGACAACACAAAGTCAAGGGTTAAGATCCCCTTACCGGTCATCTTTTTAATTTAAAAAAAAAAAAAAAAAAAAATCTCCTTACCAGTCATCTTTTTTTAAAAAAAAAGAAAAATTTAAGATACATAAACTTTTAACAGTGGTGACTTTGAAGAGAGATGACAAAGACTTCCACGTCTGGCTCTATAAACTTCTAATCTATTTGGATGTTTACAAGCATATACACTTAATGCATGTGACAAATGCAAAGAGCCTCAACCCCCTAAGCACCTGTTTCTGTTTATAACCAAGTTTAGCCCTGCAAGTTCTCCCTCTTTAATTCAACTCCCATTTCGATAACATTTTTTTTTTTTTAAAGATGACCAGTAAGGGGATCTTAACCCTTGACTTGGTGTTGTCAGCACCACACTCACCCAGTGAGCTAACCAGCCATTCCTATATAGGATCCGAACCCGTGGCCTTGGCATTATCAGAACCACACTCACCCAAGTGAGCCACGGGCCAGCCCCCATTTCGATAACATTTACATTCAATTTATTCTGATCCACTGTGGGAGATGAAAAAGTTAATAGATAATGTTATCTTAAAACTTAATTAATTTAGATAACTGAATCTACAGGCAATTTCAGTAACCCAAGGTACTCAGAACATAAGTGCAGCAAAAACAAAAAACTTAATATAAAGTGAGGAAATTTGATTCACATTAAAAAAATAAACAGGGTAAAAATCAGTATTTAAAGAAAAAAATTCACTGTGGTTTATTAAATATTATTCACTCCTAATGCACAAACAGACTTGACAGGCATTTCATTTTCCTACAATTTTTAAGGATAGCGCTGGTGCATACAAATGCAAGAGAAACCCCAGCAGCCTAAGAACCAATTCCTAAAGTATATGAGCATTCTTCAAAAAGTTCATGGAGGGCTGTCCAGTTAGCTCAGTTGGTTAGAGAAGGTGGTAATAACACCAAGGTCCAGGGTTCAATCACTGTACTGGCCAGCACCAAAAGGAAAAAAAAAAGTTTGTGGAAAAATTGAATTAAAAGATAATACAAATCTTTCCCTGAACTTTTTGAGCACCCCTCAAAAAATCCACCTGGCACCTCTCCTTGGATTACCTCACAACACTAAACCTCTAGTAACAACCTGAATGGTTTTCATATATGTTCCAAAGGGCACCTCTATAGGGTCCTTGATAGAGTTTGGATGTGTTGTACCCCCAAAACTCATGTGGAAATCTGATCCCCAATGTGGCAGTGTTGGGAGCTGTTTCAGTCATAGAGGTGGATCCCTCATGAATGGATTAATGCTTTTCCTGGGTGGGTCGGGGTACTGAGTCAGTTCTTGCTCTATTAGTTCCCATGAGAGATAGTTGTTTAAAAGACCCTGGCTCCCCTCCCACACTCCCCCTCACTTCCTCTAGCTATGTGATCTGCTTCTACCTGCCTCTTTCCACTTTAAGTAGAAGCAGCCTGAGGACCACACCAGATGCAGCTGTCCCAGAATCGTGAGCCAAATAAATCTCTTTTCTTTATAAATTACCCAGTTTCAGGTATTCTGTTAGAAGCAACACAAAATGGACTAATACAATCCTGGAAATAAAAGTTTTTTCATTTACCTATCCGTTATGATCCAGAGTCCACTACGAGGCTTCCACAAAGGAGGAGAACCTTCTCTCCTCCTGCTACCTCCCCCTTTACTTATGGGTGGAAAAGAAACCATTTAAAGCCAGCAACCGAGAAAAATTCAGGCAAAGAATATAAAACCTTATTAAATAATTCATGTCAATTCTATATTATGATTATTATGGCCTGTTAAAAAGTCAGAAGGCAGAGAACGAAGAAAGAGGACAGGATCACAAACCATACAATAACATACAGTGCAGGGAAATAAAGATGTAGAATAACGCAAAGGCAGAATATCTCCTTTAGACTATCATTTACTGGCATGAAAAACAAAGTCCACTGAAGACATTTTAAATCTGTATTGCACCCTGAAGGTCGGAGTCTTGGCAACTGACTTGTCAATTCTCCCACCTAACCCCAACATCCACCTCAAGGCCTTGCCCACAGTGTTCACTGAGTGAAAGCAAAATCAAGTGCCAGTGGCACTCCCCGAGATGGTCAAGAGGCTGTGGTTACCGAGTGCACAGCACAGAACACAACCAGAAGGCATTCAGGGAGAGGTGGCCTCTACTGTCAGCCATCTCAGACTAGCCCTGAAAACACTGCTTTTGACCAGTTCCTTATTTTTTTAATTAGTGAACATTCCAGGAAATAACTGAAGGGGACAATAGAAATTATGTAGCAGACAAGACTGAAAACAATTATATGACATGAAATGACGTGATTTTTAAAAATTATTCTTCAATCTCATTGTTCAAGTGTTAATGTTGTTGTTCCTCTCAGGCAGTTTCTTAACTCTGCTTATTCACTAATTTTTCATACTAAAGAAACAACATAATGCTATGCTTTCAGTGGTCCTGATTCTCATCAACACATCTGAACTAGGCAAAAAATAAACTATACAACAATCTCTAGATGGCTAGCTCCTGACTATCACTAATTTACATTTAATTTTCATTTGACTCAAGAAAACTCAAGTTCCATTAGAGATGGAAATGACTCCACCACTTGCTATTAGTATCATTTTTAACAGTCAAATTACCATAAATTGTATATAAGCTAAAAAATGCATACTGTGAGAAAATCCTGCTCAAATTTGTACGCTCCACCTCCAGTGGCACAAAAGACAGTGTGGAGACTCGAGAAGTTTTTATCTCTGCCCATTTGAATAAAAGCAGGCATGTCATGAGTGGGAAAGCGTATAAAGTGCAGATTGCCTTTGCGTCCACACAGAGTCAGGTCCTTCAGCTCGAGGTGCACGTCCCGAATGCCCGTGGACCCATAAGCCACATTGGAGGTCAGGTACTTCCGAATGCTTTTAAGACTTTCCACTTCTTCCTCCTCTTCTTCGGCAGTGATATCTTTGGGTTCAAAATAAACCAGCTTGACCAGGGTTCCACCAATATCCAAGCCAAACCACGGAAAAACTAAGTAGGGAAGGAAAAAAAAAGAAGTGTTCTGAAAACAAAATTTACACTTCTACATTAGCAACTTACTTCATAACCTGTAGTTTCCAAGGGATTTAATTCTAAACAAAAAGGTTTTAAGGAGAAGACATGTGATTGTCTGGTTCAGAAGCTTATTTAAAACAAAGAAACACAAAAGAAAAACCAATACAAAGATCAAAAAGAAAAATACCAAAGTATCAAACCAACACAACTTTCCTGTACAGACAAAGCCCAAACTGCATGATGAAATATTTTTAAAATAACAAAATGACTACCCAGTAAGTCTCAACTCTGAAAAACAAAGATTGAGAATGAAAAATCTTCATCCTCCCCACAGGCTTAAAGAAGAAATGTTGAGACTTCAGAGCTGTGGTTTAGTACTCAAACTAGAAATAAAGCAAATTCCCAACCCCACATAACATGTAAGCTCCAGTGGTCAATTTCTCTCTCAAAACCTGATTTTCTAAAAATAAAAGGTTTCAATGGACCTTAAATTAAACATCTTTTCCCACCTCCTCCCTCCAACCCCAAACAAAATGGCTTTAAGAGACTGGATCATGATAAACTGAATAAACATACATGCCTTCCCCTCTCACCCTAAATCCTAGAAAGGACTAAAGATATGGATTTACTGATATATTCTTTTTCGAAATAATTCTGGGAAACAGGAAGTGACACCAACAGTACAAGTAAGTTGTAACTGTGCAAAGGAATGCTATTAGAAATGGATGCAGCTTTGCAAGTGGGAGAACATGTAGGGGTGCTGTATCCAACCTGTACATAAGGGTGGCTGCCATGAGGAAACAGGAGCAGGCTCTGATGTAGTCATGGGTGATCTGGTGGGGAAATGCACTTGGCACAACTGGACAGGACACCACTTCCTTCTACCAAGAGCCTCTCCCCATCTCACCCCGACAAAAGCAAGTTCTTCACTGAGCAAAGGCACTGGAGCCCCAAAATCAGCATGGCACCCAGGTGGCTGCTATTACCCAGAAGGAATGGGAAGCCCACCCACATCCCATCTCTCCCCTACAGACTAGTAAACAGAAATCACATGCACTAACAGAAGAACAACAATTCTCAAACCAGAGATGATCATTTTACCAACTAGAATCACCAAGAGGAAAATCACCACAAAAATGAGGAACTAAATATTTGAAGAAAGAGTAGCAGGAACAAACAGGAGAATCATAAATATCCTCAGAGGTAAAATGAGATCTCACCCTTGAAAAATAAATAAGTTACTATAAAGAAAAATGAGAAATTAAAAACGATTGCTAATTGTGGTATGGTTGCAAGAATTAACACGTGATAAAATTATATAGAACTAAATATACATATACAAAAGAGTTTATGTAGAACTGGTAAAATTTAAATAAAGTCTGTCCATGTTAATTTCCTAGTTGTGGGGAAAAATACTGCCTTCAAAAGGAAAAAAAAAAAAAGGACAATCCACTACACACTTGACTTGACATGCATGAATCTCAAAAACAAGCTGAGTGAAAGAAGCCTTGCACAAAAGGCTACAAATTATGTGATTCCATTTTCGTGAGACTCTAGAAAACGCAAACAAATCATTTCTGCACCTGAGAGAAAGCAGATCATAGGCTGGGGGGAAGGGAAAGATGAACTGCACAGGCACGTGAAAACAGTGACAACCCAAATCTTGATTGTTGGCAAGGGGAGGGCTGTATGTACATATATCTGGGTGTATATATCTGTCAAAATGCATGGAATTTTATACTTTATATGGATGCAATTTATTATATGTAAATTATATCTCAATAAAGACATTTTTATAAAAGAGAAAGAAAAAATGGTCACCAAAATAAAGCTCGATAAATTTAAAAGCAAAATGGGGATAGGAAAAAATAAATGGAAAACAAAACTAAGAAATTCTCCCAAAATGTCTCTCAAATACGAAGGAAAGATACACAGAATACAGAACCAGAAAGTATAATATCTATCTTATGCGAAAAACTTCTTAAGGGAAAGGGAGAACATGAATCATCAGGCTGGAACTCTAAGTACTAAGTAGAATCAGTTAGTGGGAAAGGAGAAGACCTAGACACATCCTATTGAAATTTCAGGAAATCTTAAGAAAAAACTGAATTCCTACAAAAATACATAAATCACATAAAGGTAAAAATTAGACTTTTAATCAGCAACACAGATGCTAGAAGAAAAGTGGAGCACTGGCTTCAAAGTTATAAGGAAAAAGATTCTGAAACATATATCCAGCCAAACCAGCTTTCAAGTGGGAATGCAAACGAAATTTTCACACATGAAAGGGCTCAACTTTTAGTATTGGAAGACATTCTCTGAAATAATTAGTTGATGCACACCAACATAATTTAATAACATCCATGATCTTTAAAAAAATCTTTTTACCCATGAGCTATAAGAAACAAAAGCAAAGGAACCAACATATGCTGACTTTTAGAAAAAAATAAGTAATCTGGAACTAAAATACTTGCGTGATTTCAACACAGGAAGCCAAAGAGGGAAGAGAAAGGAGAAGGAAGTAAAAGCAAGCAGCAGTTCTGTCTCATTGGGAAAAGGAAGAAAAGATAAAGATTCTGATTAATTCTGGACAAGAATAGAGAAGTATTGGTTTACATGTGTTAAAAATTTGCAGGTAACTCCAGAAGAGAAAAAAAGAACATATGACTTTCAAATGACTAGGGAAAAAAAATAAATAAATCAGTTCAAAAATAAAGAAAAGAAAAAAAGTATAGTAAATACAAAACAAAAAATGACAGGAATTAATGCAAACATATCAGTAATCACTAATAGGTCAAATTTCCAGGCTGAAGGGGAAATTCATCTATATGCTGATGTAAAAAGATATCTCAAACAAGATAATACAAGTAAGGAAAAATGGTAAAACACCCACAATGGAGTCATATCATAAGGAGGAGTTAGATGCTTTAAGATGAAAATAGCATTATGTCAAAATTATTACTCATCTCAAAATCTTAAGCACTTTTAAGGGCCTCACTGGAGACAAATATACTAGACAGAGCAGCTGACTCGCATTTAGGAGCCATGGCATAGTGGAAGTCATACCTTACGTTTCAAGACCAGCACTACATTTAGCATGGGGCTATGCTCACATTATGAGAGGTGCCCTTCCAAATAGTGCCTACCAAGGAAAAGAGATTCACAATTCTCATTCCTACACTCACTCACAATCATATACACTGATCAAAACAGTGGGTAGCATCACTGGCACCATTTATATGATTGAATTTAGATGCCTGGACAATGCTACTCTACTACATAAAGCAAATGTTAACAGAAAGCAAATACAATACCAGCAGACCAAACAATTCAAACAAACAAAAAAAGCATTACAGGGGAACAAAAAGGAATTATATCATGTGCATAAAAAAGTACAACTGAAAACATAACAGTCATGATCCTTATATACTTAGAACATGCTTCAAAAAATGTTGGGCCGGCCCGGTGGCACACTGCTACAGTGCGCCGCTTGGGAGCGCAGCGGCGCT